CAAAATGAACACCTTACTTTCAATACTGCTTAAGAAAAACAACATTATATCATGTCAGACGGCTGATAAAACATTGGTTAATTGTGATGCTCTTATTAGATAAGTATATCTAGCAGCTAACAAGCTGTCACTACAATATAATTACGGATTAATAGATAATCGGAGCTAGCACGTGCTTTGTCATCGTTATGTCATACTATCTACTTCGATTGATCAACATCTGATTGGACAATTTTGCAATATTTTAAGTTTTAAGTCGCTACGTTATGGGCTGATGAATTAAAAGATGTGCCGCGATATCAGGCCACGATAGTGAGAAATTACGAGGTGAGTCAGGTGACCCTCAATGATGATGTTTTTTCACCATTAGCTTAGCCGATCTGACAAGCAGAAGTGATATAGCATCAAAAAAAATATATACAATTCATACATGACCTTACATCTGTCTCCCATGGGGTAGGCAGAGGCAGGACAATTGCAACCAAAAAATTGTTCTAAATCGTAAGATCAGCCATCATAACTCATTTTATTCCCCAAAATGTGACCACAAATTTGTACATACATAACATAACATCACACACAGGAGTGCACACAGAAGTAACATCAATTTTTCACTATTTATGTTATAAGTCCCATGTAATAGGGGGTGAGTTGCCATATACCGGGCACATTTCCAAACTCCTTGCTACTACTGAGATTTTATTTTAAAAACCCAGTTATACTTTGCCCCTACCCGGGAATCGAACCCGAGACTCCCAGTGGAAGAAAAGTATTGTTATATTAAATCTTTTTTACTCACTACTAGCTTCTGCCTGCGGCATTGTCCGCGTTTCCGTAGGATAAAAGTAACCTGTGTTATTCCCAACCATAATATATCCCTGTTATCGCGTAGAACGTAACGCGTTACCGGGGCTCCGGCTCGACGTGCAGAAGAAGGAACGGGGTGGAGTCTGACACTCCCTCCCGCCTCACTCAGGCCGGAGCAGTCATTTGATGATTTTCCCCCCTTAAAAAAATGCCATATCTTTTACAAGTTTTGGGAAGGTAAAGATGAATGTTTCGATCTAAGTATGTTTTATTCTAGACCGATGGAACACTAAATGGGCACTGCCTTCGATGGGTTAATTGTTTGTTTTCCGAAAATTCATTTGTAGCTTTTTTTTACAGGGGGAAAATCAACGAATGACTGCTCCCGCCTGGGTGAGGCGGGAGGGAGTGTCAGACTCTTACTGACTAAAAACCACTGCGTTCCTTCTCCTGCACTTCGAGCCGGAGCCCCGGTAACCCGTTAGGTTCTTCGCGACATTCATTTGTAGCTTGGAGATATCAGATAATCACATTTGCCAAGGCATTGTAGAATTAAAGGAATGATATAACCACATGCAAATCCAATACTAAAACTTATCAGTAAGACGGAACAAATCTTGGAGGTATATGAAACAAAATAATTAAAACATCAGGTTCATTTTGCGGTCACAATTACACGGTGTCACATATCAGAGGCGGCGAACATTTTGTTGAATAATTTGCTCGTGTTCAAAATTATTAACGGCAAAGCATTCGTCATGGCGGCGTGGGGTCCCAGGGAATCGTATCAATGTTTTATTTTTTATATTTTTCGCAAAAGCATGTGATTGTTTCTTGCCTTTATTAATTTAAATGTTGACGATTTCGGTGTTTGCACAGTTCAAAAGTACTTCATTGATCTTTAATATTTGTTATCGTACACTTTGAATAGTGTCCTATTTAAGTTCCATAAGATCAAAATGCAAAATTCTATCCAATTTACAATAACACTCAATCATCATTACAATTTGAATGCACCAGGAAGAAATGTAAGTGTGAACACTCAATTATGTGTTTACTATTAACTTGTATTAGCGAGTGTTGTAGTAAAACCATACATATTTTATAACGTTACTTTACACTGGCGGTGCTAAGACGTTCGGTGTCTTTGTACCACACAAAATGGCAGTTAAACCTCTAGTTAATGCCACGATAAATATTTTGTTCAATATATAATCACATGCCGCTTATGGTTTGCTAGAATTCATTTGTTATTGGGATTGTGTTGTTTCCTATATTTTGATAGTTGCCGACTGCACAATATGCTCAATTACGAGCGTGCTCGAAAGCCGTCCCTAGCACATTATAATCATAATAGCAACGCGGTGTATAACTCTATTAAAGCCTCGTTTTGTTCACTTGAATGCGACAGCGACAGCCAGAGATTTATCGAGCGTTCTAAAGATGTCTGGCGCGGCTATGCTTAATTGTCTGCCGCATCTAATTGTTGTCTGGGTCTAGACGCGCACCAAGAAATAAATCACCGATATGTGTGTTTAATCGTGTTATATTTTGATTCAATAAATTACTCACGTAACATACCTTTTTACATCTTACATACAGTGTGATAATCAATTTACAAATATCCATTTTCCACCGTTCATTCGTCTATAAATATAAATTAAAACTTAGTCAATATGTTTTGTACCTAATATATTGTTTCCGACTACAAAAATGTACATTTAGTTAGTAACCATTTATATTTTATTACTACACATTACTTTCGTTAAAAAAGAACAAAATTAAAATACCTACAAGGATGTGATGTGAACTTATTGTATATAGTGTGAGCTTAACATTAGGCCCGTAGGTTGGTTCCATATAAATAAATAAAGAAATACAGTCTGTATGTAACAATGTCTTAAATATAAATTAAGATGAACAGACGAATGTATGCCTTATACATTTGAACTATAAATCGTTATACACTGGCAAAATATTTCATAAAAAATAAAATACATTTTAAAATCTAGACACAATTCTTAATATTACTTGTAGGTACAGTTTTAAAAGAGAGATCAAAGAGTTTTTATCATCAGAGGGTATGAATGATTATTTTATCATTTATGTGAATTATCAGGATATGGTGACTGTAAATTGGTGTCAGCAGGTTACGGGCACCAATAAAATGACTCGACGTCAAATGTTAATTGTTGTAAACCAACAAATGTCAATTATAACGAGTAATAAACATTATTTTGTCTTGATGTTTCCATAACAATGTACTAAAAACATTTTTATAGGTGTCACCTTATCTAGGGGTTACATTACATTGCGTATATCAATGTTATTCTTTTGCCAAATTGCTTTAGCAAATTGTTTCGTCCTTGAACGTTAATTTAGTTTATCAATGACGAACTTTGTTTGTTATATAATTGCAACTTTGTAAATTGTAACATGATTATACCTAAGTATTTAATTTATATTTTATCCTAGAGTTTCTTTAAGGTCAATGTTTCTTGAACGGCAATATCGAGAAAAGTACCCATCGAAGGGCTACTTTCCCCAATCATTTCCCACTTTCTGATTTTATGATATAATAGTGTCGTCTATTAACTATTAATTAAATGCCATCGGTTCTGCTTCTCACAAGACTATAGTGACATTAATTGCAGTCAAGCCCTCAGATTTAATAACGAGTTTTATTGAGAAAATTCTATTAAGATTAACCCGTAGTTAAAGCTTGGAACTGTAAACGGATACTGACATTCAGTTAAATCTAGACGGTTTCGCTGACCATAATCTAGTTGTGTAAAAGAGAATAAAAGAAACATTAATAAAAATGTTCTATAGCCATTTTCAAAGTGGATAATTTCACGTGCCAACGGCTCGAGACAATGACTCCGTGACCAATCGGGTTGCACATTGTTATGTACCTATAAACTTACTGCGGAATAAGTAAAAATGGCAGTAAAGTGAACGCAGCCATAATGTTTTGCTAATTGGCTCTCTTATCGGTCGTTACGCATTATACGTTCATTAATTGTTGTTATTTTACGACAAGAGATTGTATTTCTTTCGCCAATAGTAATTTTATTTGCGCCGCCATCTTTTTTAGTTTATGGATTTGTTTTTTTTATTAGTGCTCTATTATAGCGTCTGTTGTTCTAGTTCGTAGAGCCAAGATAAAGATTTTTTATTATTTTTATAATTTATTTCTAGTGTTTAAAATTAAATTGATATTTTAATTTATAGTATCATAAAGTCTGTTTTTAAATTAATTAAAATTTATTATTTTGTTTTAATGTTGTCCTGTCCGGTTTTGTTTAGTATCGATATTGAGACATCGAGATCGATTACAAAACTTAAAGGGTATTAATGTCGTATTTTTTCAACCTTTTTGTAAGCTTGATGTATCATGCCTGGTTCAGTTTATCGCAGTAATTGTTACAAAGTGTTTCTGTCAAGAAATTATACAGCAATGGCGTCGTAATTAAGTTAATTGCTCACCATTCTGTCTAATGGAGTAAAACTTAGTGTTTTATTGGGTTGTTAAACGGTAATGACACATTTAAAACTACCTAAAATGTTTTGTTCCTGAAAGTTAACAAATTAAGCCCGTTACCTACTGAAATATTCTTCACACCAATTTACGTTTATATAATTATACTTGTTTAGCATACATTTTCGACTTAAACATCATTCAAGTCATACGCCATTTAGTAAATAAAAAAATAAAATTTGAAATCGCAAAAATAAAACGAATAGAATACCACATCATCAACAAACTTCAATATAAAATTATTGCCCCGATTTTAAGAGAAAAATATATTAACATTAAAGAAAATAAATATAGATCGTTACTATATACACTACTACCTATATAATACATTGCCTAGGTCTAGTATTCACACGAGATATGTTTTTATTAATTATATGGTACTCATCAAGTCTTTACAAAAGCTGATTAATCTAATGATAATAACATTTTACTGTAAGCAAAGGAACAACTCTGAAATGCCATCAAGTGTTGGTACAGCACTATCGTAGCTACATCAGCAGAAATATTGGTTCCCGAAGTATTTTCACTTTTAGCGTACCGAGAGAACTCTGTTACCATCGACATTTCAGTCACTGCTGAGTCACTCAGCCACAACGTTCACTGGTCAGTCACGAATTATCCGAGAGCCTCTATTGTCACATTGTAGTCACTTTCACGTGTTAAGTAAGGACTCTATACTGAAAGGATTATGTTTTCTTGTCCCTCCATTTTTCGAGAGGTCCTCCGTAGCGTGGCCTCCACCGCTCAGGTCTAAGGAGACAGCTCGACCTGAGTCGAAGTCGAACTTCTCAAAGTTCGTACTGGCTCCACTGAAGTGCTTGAAGAACGAGGGCTGAGGGTCGGGGGTTGGGCTGTAGTGCCGCCCCGAATGGCCATCAGACGTCGAACTGTCTGAGTTGTTCATGCCGTCGCCCCCCGAAGGTGCCCGAAGTCGGCCCGATAGGGAGAAGTCTTCAGGTCCCGAGTCGTGGCAGGAGTCTCCCCCTACTACATCTATCATGCTGTCCTCCCCCTCCCCGTCTCCGTCTGAGTCGGAGTACAGGCCGCTGTTCTTGTGCTGGGCCAGGTACTCCGCCTTCAGAGCCTCGAGGTCTACCGCGATGCCCTTAGCCCGTAGCTTCCTCGCTTGCCTCTCCAACGCTTTTGCCAACTTCTTTCTTCTTCTCGCCCTGTTGATAAAATCGATAGGGCCCAATTAGTATAGAATCTATAGCTTAATGATTCAGTTCAATGAAAATAATCACTATTAGGCATCGTGTGTTATGTTATCTCTCTAATTACTGTAGTAGTATTAGAAGTGTATGATATTAATATTCGACACTTTTATCGAAGCTATTATGATAAAACTGTCACCACCGATGACATAACAGAAGGAGTGCACACCGTCCGTGCGTCACACGTAACCTCTGCACATTATAATGTATTTTTTATCTTTTTATGTTCTCTTTAAATTACTTGAACACTAGATAAAAGCACGATTATTTGTGTTAATCATATGAAATTAAAACAAAACCTTCGAACAAATTACATCAGTTAATTAATCAAATTTGGTCGACATTTGTTCAGTGTAGAAATAATCTGTTTAAAAGATGCACTCGGCCAACGCCATACTACTATTTATTGTGTTGTCCCATAGCTCGATAGATGGCGTTGGCCGATTTAAATTCAAGCTATGGTTTCGTTACCGGCAAAACATTAGGTTGTCTGCTTTGACGTAAATAAATTGTCTTGCTCTGAGGTACTTCGTATTATTTCAAGTAATAGGCTCCAAAGGACTTTCGGCCGATACTGTTCATGGTCCAGTCGAGCCGAAGGGTGTTTATGGAAGAACACATACAATTAAATATAGTTGTGCTAATTGATACGAGATGGTGATAGTTGTCGGTTAACAATACTACATGTGGAAGACTACGTGCTCAGCTGCCGAGGACATACATCGGGAATCATCGGTGAACTTCGTAGTAGTGAAGTGAAGTGCATAATTGTGGACAAAGAACTGTGAGTACATTCAAATCATTAAAACTAGGGACTTAGAAAAATTCGCGTGCATTCGATCAGGGACTTAGAATAGTTTCAGAAAAACGACCAGACGTCGAATCTATGCCCGATTTCGAAGCGATCTACAAGTATTAAACACTTAGAAAAATTCTCTATAGTTTGGACTTGGAAAATTTGTCAATTGTCAACTGTCAGCGACACTTAGAGAATTTTCATCTATCTTTCACTGGACTTAGAATATTTTCATGAATACAAACAACATGGAGAAAGAACTAAGAAAGCTGAAAGATATCAAATTACAAATTGAAAAGGGCTGGATAAATTACAAGAAGTCCCCGAGAGATCGGATAAACTACAATTATGTCGATGCACGTTTAGAGATGTTAGAGACCCAATTCAAGAATTTTTCTGCGAAATATGAAGTCATCGTAGGTGATTGCGAAAGTGAAGAATTACAGGACTTTTTCCAGGAAGATATCTATGAGACGGTTTATGAGTGTTATTTAATGTACAAGGTAGAATTAAAAAATGTTTTGTCCCAATTAAAAGTTCACAGCTCAGGAAGGAAGGTTGCGATGGTTCATCTGACAGCAGTGTGGTAAGATTGCCAAAAATAGTTTTACCTACTTTTAGCGGAAAATATACAGAGTGGTCGTCATTCCGTGATTTGTTCGTGTCATTAGTACACAACAATAAAAAACTTGATGATGTCCAACGTCTCCATTATTTAAAAACTCAACTGTCAGGTGAAGCGGAGCAGCTTATAAAACATGTACCTATAACTGATTTAAACTATAAAAAATGCTGGGAAATGTTAGAACATAGGTATAATAACAAGAGATTTGTATCCACATATATTTTAAATAGATTATTTGGCCAACGTAATATTGGAAATGAATCATCAAAGCACTAAAAGATTTACTAGATGTGACCAGTGACTGTTTGCACGAACTTACTATATTGGGATCGATGTAGTTCATGGGATGTAATTATTATTTACGTTGCAAGCTTAAGTTGGACGTAGAATCGAGGAAGCAGTGGGAACTGCATGTCACTAAATCATCCGACGATCTACCTTCCTTTAAACAGTTTTGCGAGTTTTTGGAAACACGTTTTCGTGCTCTCGAATGCGTTGAGCCTAAAAATAAATTAAAAGTCGATCATCATCCTACATCTCACACTAAGGTCATGCACGGTACGACTAATATGTTATGTCCACACTGTTCGGAGAGTCACAAACTCTTAAATTGTAAGAAGTTTTGCCAACTAGATGTGGACGGACGTCGTGCCGTAACACAATCTTTGGGTGCCTGTTTTAATTGTTTGGGAAGTAATCATACTTCCAAATACTGCCGTGTTTTTTCGAAATGCCGTATTTGTCAGCGTAAACACCATACGCTGCTACATCCGAAGAACCATAGTGGAGCCATTGGGGTTACTGCGTCAGGGGAACCTATTCTCCCTGAACTTGGATGTACTTCAGAGCCAGTCCATGATGTCAAGGTAAGTATAGCATCTCATTTTGTGAATGAACAAACGCAGGGTCAGGTCTTGTTAGCCACGGCTTTGGTTAAAGCCGAATCACAAAATGGGTCCTCTCAGGTTTTGAGAGCTTTGTTGGATCAAGGATCACAAGCATCCTTTATAACTGAGTCAGCTGCGCAATTACTTCGTTTAAGGAGAGTAGTCTCAAAGACTACTATTGCAGGTATAGGAGGTGAGCATAGCAAGATCGTTTCTAAACATGTAGTGAATATTGATATTCAATCGTTGCATGATTCCTCTTATACCATAAACGTAACTGCGCATGTACTACGTTCACTGACATCGGTTATGCCAGATAAGAATGTCAACCTTGACAATTGGCCAGAAATTCACAGCATACGTCTAGCCGACCCAAATTTCAGTCGTTCTAATAAAATTGATATTTTATTAGGGGGGGAAGTATACTGCCGTATTTTAAAGAAGGTCTGATCAAGAGTCCTACAGGCTCTCCGGTCGCACAAGACACGCATTTAGGTTGGATTGTGTCAGGCTATGTCAGTAAGGCAGATAGCTCTCTAAATTCTCATAATACTATAATCACGATGTACACTCAAATAGAAGAGAATGATATGTTAAAACGTTTATGGGAATTGGATTCCGAACCTGCTATAACGAAAAAGCTTCTCACGCCTGAAGAACAGGCCTGCGAAGAGTTTTACGCACAATCGACAGTTAGAGATGTCAATGGGAGATATGTCGTAAAATTACCTTTTCGTTCCGAAGATCCACTTTGTAAATACGGTAATTCTAAAAATATAGCTGTAAAAAGATTGCTAGGTTTAGAAAGGAAGCTGGGTAGGGATGATGAATTAAAACAACAGTATGCTGATGTAATAAAAGAATATTTATTGCTAGGTCATATGGAGAAAATCGTTGATAAGGCTGAAATAAATAAAAACGATGCTGTTTATTTGCCTCATCACGCAGTGGTTAGACAGGATAAATTAACCACTAAGGTAAGAGTGGTTTATGACGCGTCATGTAAGGGAACGAACGGGGTTTCCTTAAATGACACCTTAATGGTAGGACCCACTCTTCAGGCAGATTTGCGACATATTGTCATGAGATGGCGTCAACATCCGATCTGTCTGGCTGCCGATATCGTCAAAATGTATCGCCAAATCAAGGTCGCTCGACCTGATACAGATTATCAAAGAATTGTTTGGAGAGAGAATCCAAACAAAGAGATCGAGGATTACCGACTTCTGACTGTCACCTTTGGTACGTCATGCGCTCCTTACTTAGCTGTAAAGTCGTTGCAGCAAGTTGCGTGCGATGAAGGCGAGAGGTATCCAATGGCTGCTGAAAGGGTGAAGTCAGACTTCTATATGGACGATCTGATGACTGGGTGTCAATCTGAAACAGAAGTAAAACTAATTTATGATGAAATGAATTGTCTATTAGAGAAAGCGGGGTTCCAATTGCAAAAGTGGACAAGCAATAGACCATCCATTTTGGAAACGTTGAAGGAAACTTCTGGTAGAGACCTTGAAATAAAAATGGATAGTATAACTAAGATTTTAGGACTTACCTGGAACCGGAACACTGATGAATTTGATTATTCTGTGAAGATGTCACCTCCTGCTGCACCTGAAACAAAAAGGACGGTTATATCAGAGATATCAAAGCTTTATGATCCGTTGGGTTGGATAGCACCGTGCATTATAACCTCGAAGGTTTTCATACAAAAGCTATGGATTAGTGGAATCGGCTGGGATGATGAACTGCCACCAAATCTCTTACAAGAATGGTCATATTATAGAGCAGAGTTAAAGAAACTGGTAAACTTTCACATTCCTAGATGGATACATAAAAGCGAAAAAGATATTACAATGGAGTTACATGGCTTTAGCGATGCGTCAAATATAGCTTATGCGGCTGTGGTGTATTGTCGCATTGTCGATGCTAATGGGCAAATACACTCGCACCTCATAACCGCAAAGACAAAGGTAGCTCCCATCAAGCAAATATCCATTCCACGGCTGGAGTTGTGCGGTTCTGTTTTAGTAGCAAAATTATTGATTGATGTAGCTCAAGTAATGAACATTCCTAAGGCAAATATACATGCTTGGACGGATTCATCAGTTGTTTTGGCCTGGTTAAATGATCATCCAAGTCGATGGAAAACTTACGTGGCTAATCGTACTTCTGAGATTCTTGGTTTGCTAGACAATTCGCAGTGGGCTTATGTTAAATCTAAAGAAAATCCAGCAGATATAGCTTCCCGGGGAGTGTCTTCAGCATTTCTCCTTGGTGATGATCTTTGGAAACATGGACCTGGTTGGTTAAGGAATGCTCAGATAGACTTCACCCGGCCTAGTGCCATTCATACTAATGAGGAGTTAAAGCAAGTTAATGTTCACACTGCCAGCGTAGTGCCTGATTTTGAAGTCATTTGGGGATCTAAGTATTCATCACTTTCACGTTTGGTGAGAGTTGTTGCGTATTGTAAAAGATTTTTGCAATCATTAAAACTTCGTAAAGCGAATATTAAGGTTGCAAAATACCTGTCAGCTTCCGAAATTCACAAAGCGTTGAATGTATGTATCAAACAAAGCCAACAGCAATGGTTTCAGGCTGAATTGACAGCCCTGAAAAATAAGAGTCCATTGGAAAGGTCGAGTTCTTTATATAAGTTGAATGTATTTATCGACCAATGTGGGATATTGCGAGTTGGAGGAAGGCTACGGTATTCACCATTACTTGATGATACAAAGCACCCAGTTGTTATTCCTCATGATTCAAGTTTGGCTAAGTTAATTGTAGCCGACGCTCATGAAAGGACCTTTCATGGAGGACAGCAACTGGTACTTAATTTTATACGCATCAAGTACTGGATCAGTCGGGTTAAAAATATTGTACGAGCTTATATACGTCGTTGTGTTCGCTGTATTCGATACTCGGCGACCACGAATCAACAGCTTATGGGAGAACTTCCGGTTTGCAGAGTGACTCCCAGTAAGCCGTTTCTGAACTCCGGTGTCGATTATGCAGGCCCTATTCACATTAGAGTCTCCAAAGGTCGTGGACAGCGGTCGTATAAGGGGTACATCTGTTTGTTCGTATGTATGGCTACGCGCGCAGTACACATAGAGGTTGTTTCAGATTTGACGACTGAGGGTTTCCTGGCAGCGTTCAAACGGTTCGTTTCTAGGCGCGGTCACTGTCGTCATATCTGGAGCGACAATGGTACAAATTTTGTGGGTGCTGCTAAAGAGTTGCAGATGCTTTTCAACCAACAGAGTTCGATGTACAAAGACATTGCAGCTGCTCTTGCAAACTCTCAAACAGAATGGCATTTTATCCCTCCTCACGCTCCTAATTTTGGTGGGTTGTGGGAAGCAGGGGTGAAAAGTGTAAAACACCACTTGAAGCGTGTGATAGGTGACTCCACTTTGACGTTCGAAGAACTGTCCACAGTACTTTCCCAAATCGAGGCATGCCTAAACTCTAGGCCCCTGTCTCAGGGTAGTAGTGATCCAGAGGATCCTGTACCTCTGACTCCGGGTCATTTCTTGGTGGGTCATCCATTGGTAATGGTTCCTGACTACAACTATGAAAGTGTCACAGTTAGCACTTTACGCAGATGGCAATTAGTACAGCGTATGGTGCAGCACTTTTGGCGTAGATGGAAACAGGAGTATTTAACAAACTTTTTTCAAAGGCATAAGTGGAATGTTCGTAAACCTGACTGTAAAATAGGTGATGTAGTTTTAATAAAAGAAGATATCTTACCTCCAGCTAAATGGTTGTATGGCAGAATTGTTGAGCTGCATCCGGGTAGAGATAACTTGACGCGAGTTGTCACTGTTCGTTGTAAGGGCTCTATGATTAAACGTCCAATTTCAAAATTGTGTTTTCTTCCTGTTACTGAATAAGGCACAAAATCTTGTAGATTTAATTGTTTAAGTTGCGTATGTTTTTAGATAAGGTTTTATTATGTTATTTTCTTATACTGCACTGTTGAAATAACAATGTCTCTTACTCTTGTGCACTGTCATGTATTGATTACAATGTTTAGTTAGTAGTTTAGTTATATTGTTTTTGTCAGAATTTTGTCAACCTGATATTTTTGCGGTAACAAGAATTTCGTCACCCAGATTAATGTTTTTGTACTTATATCTATTCATTTTGATTGAAACCATATCTGTCCGCGCCAATGTCTGCTAAAAGAAGCCGTCCACTAGGTCTATCTCGATGTATTATTCGTAATATAGTAATATAATTGTCATACAGTCCACTGTTCTCCTAGTTGTTAAGTTTATGCATGGTGGGCGGTACGAAAAGGAATATATTCCTTTTGGTGGGCGGAATGTTCAGTGTAGAAATAATCTGTTTAAAAGATGCACTCGGCCAACGCCATACTACTATTTATTGTGTTGTCCCATAGCTCGATAGATGGCGTTGGCCGATTTAAATTCAAGCTATGGTTTCGTTACCGGCAAAACATTAGGTTGTCTGCTTTGACGTAAATAAATTGTCTTGCTCTGAGGTACTTCGTATTATTTCAAGTAATAGGCTCCAAAGGACTTTCGGCCGATACTGTTCAACATTAAAAATAATCGTTATATTAAAGTCGTAAAAACGCAATAAAAGTTTTTGTTTAAGAAGAACACGAGATAGGGAAATTTATTTAAAACACTTTTTCATGACAATTATTGACACAAAGATTAACGTTATCAGTTCTGGTCAAATCTGGATTTAGGCAATGTCATGCTCAGTGACCGTTACATTTCAAAAGGTTTTATTGATAGTTTTCATTGGTAAGACGTCGATTTACTAATAATAAAATTATGGTGGGTAAATATACAGAAATAAATTAATCAATCTTTTCAAGCAAGCCAATATTTTCCTTTTCCTATTCCCTTCAAATCAGTATTTTGGGTTAAGACTCGATGTAGGTCTATTTAAAGACTACGTTATGCACATATCTCACCTCTCCCTGGCTCTCAGCTCATGTGGTGGTATTGGTTCTCCAGAACAAGACTGTGGGTGTGCATTGTGAGCTGGTCGGCCAGGACCTTTCTTTGTGTGCTCCTTCTTACGCCATTTCGCCCTTCGGTTTTGAAACCATACCTGTGTGACAAGAAAATGATATGTTAGTCAACTATATTTATTTTCAACTATATTAATTAGACATTTTATGACTGCCTCGTTGGCCGAGTGGTCGCAAGTATGTCTATTGCAAGAGGTCTCGGGTTCGATTCCCGGGTCGGGCAAAGTGTTACTGTATTTTTTTTATTGTCAGTAGTAGCATGGAGCCTGGAATTGTGCCCGGTATATGGCAAGAGGCTCACCCCCTATCACATGGGACTCATAACATAAATAGTGCAGAGTGGGTTTTACATTGTACCTACATACAGTAGTTGTGATGTTATATTATGTAATTAGATATTTTTTGTCATAATTGCAATGAAAATTCTGAACTGAAAATTTTGTAGTGGGCTGTTCAAGAACAGATCTTGTTTTTCGGGTTTTGCCAGATCCAACCACTAGAAAATATATACAAAACAATTTGTGTACACTTTTGAATACTCAAACATGGTACAGATGAGGAATTAATTGCAACAATAGGTCTTTGCAAGTATTGAATCATATTATTTTTTACTTTAACATAAGTTAAACCGGACTAACGTCACAAGAAATCACTTGTTGCACCTACAAAATAAATGTCGTCTAGAGGTCATATCTTTTAAAATATCCGAGCATCTGCACAAAAAGGATGGTTTAGTAAAAACTGCTCCGTTAAGCAAGCCGTTGCTCTATTTTGCACGATCATAACACGATCACGATTATCGATATCTGACATTTTTTTTTGTTGAAGCATTCAACGTACCAGATAAGTAGGTATGCCGTTTTTATCCATTTTTAATTCAGTTTAATAAAATAGTATCTATAGGTACCGTTAATAACAGATTTATGCTCAAATACTGAAGGGCTACTCAATTTTTTGTTGTAATTAAATATCGTGCCGTCTCTGTCTATTTACAAAGAATTTGTAGTGACAAAACTATACTTTAACTGTCAAACATCGCGAGGACACCGGTGACCGCAACCTATTGTTCTTTAATTGTGTCTATAATGACGGTACTCAAAGAGTTAAACGCGATTTGAGCATTTGGACATTGGTATTATATCATCACATGTACTGTAAACAGATTCAATCACACTACCCATTAAAATTAAGAATAGTCTCGAAATCAGTCTACCTACCAGTACTTGATTGTAATACTATTCAAGTGATACATAATACGGTATTTGACAACTAGTAAAATTCGAATTTTGAATTTTTCGAATTCTGTCAAAAACGTCAGTTTTCTATGAATTTTGTACGAGATTGTGAATTGTGACGTCACGTTTTTAGCATCAAACAGCGTAGGTACTTATTTGTTAAAAATTTGCTGGATAATACTAAAATTAAGTTGGTCATAAAATCAATTATTGAAAGCGTGATTATTTTTTTAATATTTTATTGTATTAAACAGTCGAAATAATTTGTTTTTGATTAAGGAAAGTACCCAATTATGTACTTATATAGGTAAATTGATACACTAGAAATACTGTTAACAACTTTTCTATCACCAGCAACCTTATTCGAAAGCCATAAGAAACATATTATGATCAAATTAAACGGAAAAACGTCCAAAGAAATCTCTTTTCCACTAACACCAAGTACTTAGTACTTTACTTAAATACTTAACCGGCATCTATAAAAGGTTAGAGGAGTTATCTCGACGCACAAAGCCATGTAAAGTGCCCGCGACCCGCCAAGAATTGAGACGTTAAATTTCAATGCGCCTGCGCATTACCATCGTAATGGCGGGCAGGCGTGCGCGCGCATTTGACGCGCTGCATATTGGCGCTATCTTCCGTGATGTGCGAAACTTTGTGGCAACTGATGCTTTTGGTTTTAGGCTGATCTTCATCTAAAATACGTATTATAAAGAGATGTTTTAGAACACATTTTAGCACCTATTGGGTATTGTTAACTTGAAAAATCAATTCGATGTTTCTAAGTATGATGATAGTAAATGACGGTCCTTGCAAAGAAGATTATAGCGATACAGTAGCGGTTAAGAAAAAGGTAGCATCATCGTGAACCTAACCTTATCTGCCCAATGCCTTTAAATAATACCATATCCAGTATCAATCCTACCTGACTCTATGGCGTCCCCGTGTCCCGTCTGTTATTGTTTAAAAGCTTTCAAAAACTTTTTGTCGTTTAAAAACTGTCCCTGTACCATACAAATTTCGTCTGGAATTGCTCATAGTAATTATAGAACGTAGCTACATAGCTGTGTATAGCCTTTATTTTAATATCAAATAACATTGAATATTCATAACTCAGTTATTGCTTTAGTATCTTCAAAGACAAACGATTAACTATCTTGAGTGCGTAAACGAATATCCCACCTCGGCGATATAATGCAGTTATTGTCAATGATTTCAATGGTTTGGTAGTAAAATACTCCGTAATTATGGAATTTAATTGTAGCTGTAAAATTATGTTTATGGTGGGTTACTGGGACGGTCAGCCTTTGATGGTGGCCAGACCACCGCACGGAGTGGTCACTGACATTCTGTCGTAACTGCGTATGTATTATGTGACATCTCTTAAACTGTCAAACACCAAGCGGTCACCGGTGACCGCGACCTATTGTTCTTTAATTGTGTCTATAAAACCGGTACTCGACGAGTTAATCCAGAATTAATGATAAATGAATACTTTATTAGGTATATTTTTCTATGGGATCGTAAGTTTTTAATTAATAACATAACATAACATCACGCCTTTTATCCCCGAAGGGGTAGGCAGAGGTGTACATTACGGCACTTAATGCCACTGTACAATGAAACACCCACTTTTCACTATTTATGTTATGAGTCCCATGTAATAGGGGGTGAGCCTATTGTCATATACCGGACACATTTCCAGACACCGTGCTACTACTGAGGTTTTTCCAAACCCAGTAACACTTTGACCGACCCGGGAATCGAACCCGAGACCCCTTGCCCGGCAGTCGCACTTGCGACCACTCGGCCAATGAGTTTTTAATTAATATTTTTGTAGATCGAGTTAAGGAAGATCCTTAACACGTTAAACGCCATGGGGGTCACCAGTGACCGACGTTAGCGGAGGATTTACCTTCAACAGTTTTTTATTGGCAGTCAAAGTCTTAAATATGTTACTTGACTTCTTCGTTTCTCGAAGACTACCTTAATCCAATGTATTTAAGTGTCCATTGCCTCATGTTTAAAAGTAACACAAAGTTCTTCAAGTTTATCCAGATGACATGTATCACAGCATTTCTAAAAGTAATCAGATCTTCTATATAAATGGCATTTAAACGTTAATCGATCGCGTGAATACCAACAATACATTTTTGTATAGGGTGCTGTAAATAAATCTAAATAGAGATAGGTCAAAAGTAAAGCTAAACATTTCCTTTGTCATGAATAAAACAAACAAGAGGTTTGTTTCATCATCTTCTCTTTAAAAAATATTTTCAAGTAATGCATTTCTATGTGTATAACCGATTGGGTATAGAGGGAAAAATGTAACATAGGTTTTGGGATACGAATTGGGGTCAGCTTTACGAGCGGCCCATCGCGTTTTATTGCAAAAGCCGGGTAATATGACAATATGGCCGCCATCTGACGAATTCATTTGGATTTATTTAATAAAATTGTAAGTAACGTAGTCTCACAGCATTTGGTGTAATTAAAAAGATAAGTATAAACAATCAAAATGATATTTCTTTTTATTATTTTTATGGTCTTTTTGTAAACGTTTTACTTTGTTTGGCTATAAAACAATAACTATGTCAAAAAATTAAATTATCAAATGACTTCTGTACTGTCTTACGTATGGCAAAAGAGGGTGTCAGACTCTTACTGACAAAAAAAAAACAAAGTAAGATTTTTGAGCAGTTTTAAGGTAGACAGACTCGTGTAACTGAAATAACTGGCAAAAAGTAAAATTTCAGTGCTTAATTATTTGATTGCATATAGTTATAATTACGTCCTTATTTATCTAAGTCGTTCTTCACTTTATTTATTTACCGTACTTGTAAAATACATTAAAAATATCAAAAGCACTAGTAAGTTATTATTACTAAATACTTTTTTGGGACAAGCCCGCCACAACCTCCCAAAACCGTTGCATCTCCTGTAAGCCAGGATCTACAGTAGATACAACCATGAAAACACCGGAACACTGAAGTCCGGTGCGTCCCAGGGACATGAGTAACTGTCTTGGTTAATTACTGTATTACTACTGAATACTTACTGAATAATTTGCGTATGAAATTCTTACTCGTGTAAAAGAAATGTTATCCATAAAGTCATTGTTTAAACAAATTATGATTAAAAAATAATAACCCAATTAATATATTCATTTACTGTAAATGATTTAAAAACAATGGTGTTCCGTTGAAAATGGATTTTGAAGGAAACAACCACGTTTTCTATTTATTATTAGTATAATTATAATATTATAAGTCGCAATTATTTACTTATTGGTCGAAAATCGATTTACTTTGTTAGTGCCAATTAAAATTAAATACATATTAATGATTCATTAATATATTAATATTTACTACTAGCGACCCGCCCCGGCTGTGCACGGGTGCAATATGCATGTACTATACATATAAACCTCAAGAATCACTCTATAATTTAAAAAAAAACCGCATCATAATCCCTTGTGTAGTTTTAAAGATCTAAGCGTACATAGGGACAGACAGACGGCGGATAGCGACTTTCTTTTTTACTATGTAGTGATAAGACTAGGATTTTATTGGGTAAATCATCGCGATTATTTTGTAATTTTTTTTCCATAAACTTTTTATTGGAATTGTAGTCTTTAAAGTACTATTATATTAATATATAATATATAATAAGAAAACAAGACGTACAAAGGGAATTCCTTAACCATTAAATTTTTAAGTAATTTCAAAAGGAGTTGTAAGAATTGGGCATATATTAACCTCAATAAAATAAAATGAAACAAATTCATACAATTATATCTTACCAATATTACTTTAAAAATACCTTTAATCAACCATTAATCATAC